TATCATCATCATCGTATACATGTCATTCATCGATATCTACACGTGTGTGTACATGGAGGCCTCCTTCTCCTCAGGAGGCGGGGCCTCTTTACACCTGCTCCCTCCCTCGTCTGTCTTCGTTTGCTCGTTCAGGATGTTTGTCTTGGCTTCGCTCGACTCTGTGACTTAATCCCTCGCTGCTATTGTTAAACATTTCTGGAGCAAAAACATAATGAAAACCAAATGTGTCGGAGGAGCTTCGGGTTTCAGGCCTTTAACAACGTTACGTTTCCAGCACGTCGAGGCCAAATAACTCACTTATGTTTCCCTTGTAACTTTACGCCAAACATGAGATCTTTGCTTTGTCAAACCTGGTAAGTATCAAACCAACTGTATCAATAGGAAAACAGTTTTAATAAGCATTCCCTGCAGGCGGGGGGGGGACACCTCTCACCTGGAAGCTATTAGAGCCGACAGGAAATGGAGGCAGAGATCGAGTGCTTCCCAATAATGTGCGTCCCCCCGGACAGAGGAAATATGTAGATTCATCATAAAACATCTCGCAGAGAAACAGAGGAGAGACAGCTGGGCACCTCCAACATCACATCACACCAACATCTGCGGACGAGCGGATCACGTTTCATCGCTCATGTCACAGCATCGAACTGTAAACACCGTCTCCAGATGGACCCTATGGAAGATCGGCCCTGCCAAACAAATACATGAAATAAATAATTATGTGAAAGTGATGCAACGTGTCCAAGTTACAACATTTTGATTTAGTGCGTCGTAATTTTAACCTAGTGTGTCTCAATACTGACTGATAGTACTCTGAGTACCTTGTACTTTTATCATGTCTGTCCTTCCATTCGTCTTATTATCCTTCTGACGGACGGATTTATTCTTCGTCCTTCACGTCATCGTCCATTAAATCTAGAATCTTCCTCGTCTCCATTGAAATTCCTGAAGCGGTGCGATCATCATCAGGACGTCTCAGAGGCCGAAATCAGTGTTAATAAATCAATCCCCGGCCCGGGTGAGCTCGCCGCCGCCGCTCCCCCGGCTGCTTGCTAAACAAATGGATTCAGCATGTTTAATGAGGGCGGGGGGGGGGGGGGGGGAGGTAACTAATACCTTTAATGATCTCAGCAGACCAAAATCCTGGCACCCGCCCAGAGCCGGCGGCCGGGGAGATGTTTTGGACGGAGCTGCCACGGCGGTCATGGATGAAGATGCTCCGGTGGCGTGGCAGATTTACGTCCGAGCGCTGGACACGGAAAAGGCCATGAATTAGGAGGGCGGTGAAACGGGCCACACACTGACATCACAGCCCGCGGACGGAAGGTTAAACGGCGTCTGGGGGAAGTGAAGTGATGATACAGGCAGACGAGGGTCTGGGAGCAGGACGCTGTTTCCCTTCGTCGGCTGTTTTTAAATTTACTGAACCTTTAAAAACGCTGCGTCTCCCCGGTGCTGCGTTCGAGTCCTGAGGCCTGAGAGAGGACGCCGTGTGTCAACAGGAAGAACGTCCCGCTTTTTAAATAAAGACTTTAAACTCAAACTTTGTCCAACAGAACCACGAGGAACCTGCAGGAGACGCCAACATCTCAGGTGATCTCACGTATACCTGAGATTTATATCCAATTATTATTATATTTAAAATACTTCATGTTCACTGTAGTTCTACAATGATCATCTGCTCTGGACCTGGAGTGGGTCAGGTTCTGGAGTGGGTCAGGTTCTGGAGTGGATCAGGTTCTGGAGTGGATCAGGTTCTGGAGTGGGTCAGGTTCTGGAGTGG